TGGTGCTCATCCCCCCCACTCCAGTGGGTTCCCTGGGTCCTGGTGCTCATCCCCTGCCCAGGGCAGAGCCTGCTAACAACTCCTGGCGCTCTCCCATGGAGCTGGGCTGAGGCCTGCAGGCCATCCGCACTGCCAGGAGCTGGCAGAGCCCTCTCTATACTGGAGGTGGTGGACAGGCAGTGGGCGTGAGCCTGGGGAGAACCTGGGTGGCAAATCCTGGAAGCGCTTGCCTGTCCCTCCCCCGCCGACCTCCTCCTCCTTCCTGCAGCCTTTCTGTAAGCTGAGGGTGTCGGTGAAACCCACCTCTGCAGCGCCCACAGGAGGGCCCGGGCATGCTGCTCCCTGCTGCCACACCCAGATAGCTCTGGCTGCTCCAGGCCCAGCAGCGGGAGCCTTTTCCGAGAACCCTTTGACTGATCCTCAGAGACAAAGCCCGCCTCATAGAGGCCTCTCAGAAGCTTCCTTGCTGGAAGACAAGGGACAGTCTAAGGAAAGAGCTTCCAGTATGGGAATGCTGTTGAGTGGGAGCTAGGATGGAGAAGAGAGGGCTCCAGTTGCCCCTGCTGCCCCTGTCTGTGCACACCGATTGTGGGACAGGTCTCCCAGGGGGCACGTCCGCTGTCAGATTCCCTGGAGTCGGCCCCCCACCTGGACCACAGGACTTGGGGGGCCTGGCCACTGACATCCCCTCCCCCCGGACCGCTTCCTCACCTGGCTGAGGCAGAGGTGAGCGTGTCGCGCCCTGAGTTTCAGGGGCACTGGCAGAGGATGGCGTGTGAGATGGACCACTCTGGCCTGTCCCCCAGCAGACCTGGAGAGGGCCATGTGACATCGAAGCCTGATTTCCAGAGTGGTTGTGGGTGCGAGAAGACAGAGGGGAGATGTGCAGAGTCCCTGGGTGTGGTAAACACAGACTCAGGGATCGGACCCAGGCCCGACCTGGGCTCCCTGATGCATAGCTGGCGGCATGCACTTTATAGAGCTCTGAGAGACCATTAGTCACCCAGAGAGGGAAGTGTGAGCAGCACCGCCTGACACAGCTGGACAGACCGGGAGGGTCTGCACCCCGCCTGGCACAGCTGGACAGACCGGGAGGGTCTGCACCCCGCCTGACACAGCTGGACTGACCGGGAGGGTCTGCACCCCGCCTGACACAGCTGGACTGACCGGGAGGGTCTGCACCCTGCCTGACACAGCTGGACTGACCGGGAGGGTCTGCGCCCCGGCCTGATTTAAACTCCAGCTTGCTCTAGAAAGGCTCTTTCCCCTCTACAGGCAGGCTGATGCATGATTGCTCATGACAGGCTTCCTACAAGGGCACTTAATTTCCTGCTTTCCTCAAAAGCCATGACCCTGCCAACCATCAGTGCCACTTGCAGGCGAGTGACCTTGTGCTGCTGTTGTGGCCCTGCCTTCAGGACAGGACTGGGCAGGATGAACAGTGAAGGATGCACAGCAAGGCCAGATCTGGAAGGAAGCCGCTGCGCCCAGCTCTTCATGGTCGCGCCCCTGTGCAGCAGAAGCCGGAGCTGCTCCCATCTGCTCTGCTCGCAGGCAGGGTCTCTGTCCGCCCTCCATTTGTCAAGGACGGCTGGGTTTTTCCATTTTCATAGAAAGCAAACTTGGAATTACAAACAATTTGCTTTG